TCCAAAGGGGGCCAGGGCCAGGACCAGGTCATAGCCGGGTCCAAAGGTCCTAGACGGCCATGCCGAGTGTGTAGCGTCGGAGCTCGTAGGTTTCAGGCAGCAGGAAGTTGGATTCTTAAAATGATGTGGTAAATAAACATGAGAGGAGCTGGAAACAGTTTAGAGGAGTGACTCCAGGTTGGTGCTCGCAGCCTCAGCAGCAGCTAACTGGTCCAAAGCTTCCAGATTTTGTTGTCATCCTTCACTCACATGAATGAAGCCAAAGACTGACAGGACATGATGGAGGAACCTAAAGAACCTGATCAGCACTGCTGGAGAACCTCGACTGTTTACAGACGCTGCTCCAGTCAGTGTGTGTGTGTGTGTGTGTGTGTGTGTGTGTGTGTGTGTTTGTGTGTGTGTAGTTGCAGACAGTGTGTCTCTGCTCAGTGTTCGGTGTTGGATTCTGTCCCGTCTCTCTTCATGGAGGAGCTGTTCTCCTACAGCAGCAGCCTCAGCTCCCTCTTCCAGCTCAGCCACGCCTACCGACCGGTAACCACGGCAACCACAACTTGCACACAACCATACACACGCCTGTCAGCACTGCAACACTTCACCTGGTAGCCATAGCAACTGCCAGCAGTCACAGCACAGCCTGTTAGCGTTGTTCACCACTGACGTTAACTCGTCACATCTCCTCTTACGGACGAGTGCCTCAGGTCACATGCCTCTAAAAGACACTCCTGATTGGCTGCTGTTGATGCCAGCCAGTCCACTATAACACCTGCGGTGTTGACTGGTTCTCCTCAGGGTCCAGAAGAACTGCAGAACCTCCATCTGTCGAGCTTCACTTGTGTGGACCACCTGGACCGGCTGGACCGGCTGGACCAGCTGGACCACCTGGACCACCTGGACCCGGGTCAGTCTGCCTCCATTCAACCTCAGACACTGGTAATGGTTCAGGCTGAACTGGTTTGTGTGTGTTTGTGTGTAGGAGCCAATGGGAGACCTGAGACTGTGAAACCAGAGATGACTGCGAAACATCCAATCGGTTGTCAGCAGGATGCAGGCTCCGCCCAGGACGCTCAGGACTGGCTGGCTGAGGTGAAGCTGATCAGTGACTTGTGAGCAACAATCGTGTGCTTATTGGTTCATAAATGTGTGTGTTTGCAGGCGGAGTCGTCCCTGGCAGAGCTCTGTGACATCAACACCTATGTCACCTTTACATCATCGGGAGGCGTGGCCTACACTGGCCCCGCCTTCAGATGCCCCGCCCCATCAGACAGCCTCCACACACCTGAGACGACACACCTGGACCTGTTTCCTGCAGAGCTGCTCACACACACGCTGAGCAGGTACACACAGGCTTTCTATACCTGTGAGGACCTCAGTAATGTGGCGCCAGAGGCTGACTGTGTGTCTTATGCAGGACCCGCACTCTGGTCCTCGATCACCTGGAGCAGTGTTTCCGCGGCGCCCTGAGCTCAGCCGTTGCCATGGTGACAGAGAGGAAGGAGGCGCTGCGTTCAGAGCAGGAAGTGCAGCTTCAGCAGCTGAGACCAGAGCACGTCCTGACCCCCTTCTACCTGCTTCGCCATGGTAACACAGCCACAGTGCAGTCATGTTACCTGAAGGTGACACCTGAGTTTCTCTGTGAAGTGTCAGCTGTGGCTTAAATGAAATCAGATGCAGTTTATTATCATGGTGCTGTACGTCCACAGCAGTACAGGCAGGATGAGAGAGCCTTTCTCCAGGATCCAGGAACTTAAAGCAGTTTAAATAAACAAGTGTTTGCATGTCTGGACCAGCAGTTCAGCGTTCTGACAGCTGGTGGCATGAAGGGTTAGGGTTAGCTGATCAGTCTGGAGGTTCTTCCTTTAACGCTCCAGAAACGTTTTCCTGATGGCAGCAGTTCAGACAGTTGATGGAGAGGCTGTGAGGAGTCCTGACCATGTTCAGGGTCCTGCTCCTGCAGCAGCTCTGGAGAAGCTCTTGGACAGAGGAGACCCTCTGAGCTCCTCTAACTGTCCTCTGCAGGGCTTTGTGTCTGACACGCTGCAGCTGGAGGACCATGTGGAGATGCAGGATGTCAGGACGCTCTCCACCACACCTCTGGAGACAGTCCTGAGGATGCTGGCAGGGAGAGAGGCTGGTTTCAGCCTCCTCAGGAAAGGCAGCCTCTGCCGGGACTGGAGAGGTGGCAGGTGATAGTGCGGGTTGTCCTCTGACCGTAAGGTTGGCGGTTCCATCCCTCCACAGCCGAGGTGTCTTTGGGCAAGACCCTGAACCCTAAGTTGTCCTGATGGCAGCAGCACTTTGCATGGTGTATGACTGTGATCTCCTGTCAGATGTACGTCGCTCTGGATAACAGCGTCTGCTAAGCGACACTGTAAATGTAATTGTGTGCTGTGTTTGTGTAGCGGAGCTGCAGCTGCACAGGCGGCGGGTGGACGTCCACTGTGAGGACGTGTTGGACACGCTGACGTCCTGCAGGACGGAGCTGCAGCAGCTGCAGGCCTCCATCGCCGCCAAGAACCAGGACTTCACCGCCGCTCTGTCCAACATGGAGGACGGCATCTGGGCGGCCGACAGCAGCCGACGGTAACGCCTGACCTCAGATCAGCTGACCCAGTGTTAGTGTGGCTGGCTGCAGTGTGTGTCTGTGTGTGTCTGCAGTCTGGATGCTGTAAGCTCCGCCCTGCAGCACCGACTGGACCAACACATCAAAGCCACCCAGCAACGCCAGAGCAGCTTCAGGCAGACGGTCCAGGTCCGACTGGAGGAGGCCAGAACCAGAACCACCCAGCTGCTGAGCTCCTTTAGGTCAGCACCCTGTGAACCCCACCACGGGCTGCCAGCAGGTTCAGAGGCTGACGTTAATGTGAGACAATGTGTTTCCTGTTTGCAGACGGTTCAGTGAAGGAGGAGATGTTGCTCCTCAGGAGTTGAGGGTGTTTCAGAGGAGGCTGACGGAGGAAACCAGACGGATCGGTGAGACTGAGGCGTCCATCTTCTCTGAGCTGGAGGCGTTTGAGTCCAGGAGTTTGCAGCAGGTGATACAAGACAGAAGATCAGCAATCAGTGGATTGTTTAGGTGAAACAACTGCCATGAGAGCACATCATGAAAGAGGCTGAAGCTCAGCTCAGCACTGGGCAGCAGGATGTGTGGATAGTCCACACGCTCAGCAGTCTCACTTCTCTGCTTAAATGTTGATTGGCTGTTACTGTGAGGTGTGACCAGTCAGAGAGAGCTGTGGGCGGGACTGAGACCACAGAGTGACTGCTGCCAGAGAGGAGGCTGATCAGAACCAAAGGAGAACATCTGATTTATTTACCGATAATTGGTCAATAAAAATAATGAT